CTCTCTTGTCGCTCATGGCTTTGGTCTACAGATGTCTTCGGCGGTGAGGGAAGCGATTGAATGACTGGAAAATTATATGAAATTAAATACAAATGAATTAAATTTAAATGTGATTTAAATCGCGATTCAAAGCATTGAAAAAACGTTTTGGTTATGAAATGTACGACACGTTTACGTATGAAATACTGGTTATCATTACATATCTCATAGCCTATGATATCATATGTATTGCAATGTATTATAAGTTAGTATTAATTATTATTTATAATAACATGAGTTTTAATTACATGTTATTTAATGGTGTGATTAAAACGCTGTGTTATTTCTGTTGGCATACAGTCTATCAGTCTATGGCTCACAAACGATGTCTGCCTTTAAATACTAGGCTTTTAATTGTTGTTTACGTGTTGTTGTCTTCGCAATCAATACTAGCTTTTAATTTAGTTTAAATTACAATTAATAACAACCAAAATATGTAACAATTTTAACGATAAGTTTTGATACAAAATATAATAAATTTGATGAGAAATATGCGAAGAGAGGGAGAAATGGGAGAAACCAATGGTTTGTACGGTTTGTATGGTTTGTGTTGTGCTGTCTATGGCTTGCAATGTGTTTGTGGTTCACGTGTCCACACAATACACACTCACGTCAACCACGACTAACATTAGGCGCTCTTTTCAAACAACTCAATACTTTTTAATTAAAATAAGTTCTTAAAATTAAGTCAAAAGTTTTAATAAACTTTTTTTTCTTGATTTTAAATAGTTTTTAATTATATATTGCCTTTTAATTATAGTTTTGTAGTGTTTTGTTAACATTAATTGTATGTAAAGTTTGTTGTCTATGCCATAGGATCTACATCTATGGGAAGTGTAACGCAATGTGTAAAACAATTTATTAAATAACGTGTTTTTGTTTTGATTTCATTTAATATGTGTTATATTTAACAATTAATATAATAAGTGATATAAAAGGATATTACCATTAGATCAATAGATTATAAACTGAATTATAATAAGAAATATAGTAATATTAATCCTATAAAGAATTAAATCTTTAAGATTTGATAGTTACAAATGCTATCAAACAAGTGCTCAGCAAATGAATTGAAAAATAATGACTTAATTGTGAATTCAAACAATAATACCATTAATATTAAGTTAATAATAATTGCAATGAAAATAATTCAATGAATTGTATGTCAAATGTGAGTGAAATGAATGGCAAACAGAAATCAAATGACAAATGTATGGAAAGTATTAAAACAATTGATATTTCAAACGTTAATTATAATAATGTTAATATTAGTGATAATCTAGTTAATAATAAATTGATTATGAATTCAGTGAACAATTGTGAGAATAAAGTTAATAATAAATGTCTTATAAGTGACTCTCCATTACATCTATTAATACCTTTCCCGAAATTTCATTCAAAAGAAAAACAATTAATAATCGATAATAACATTGAATTTATTGAAACCAGATTTCGTTCACAAGATATGCAAATCTTACGAAACAATTGGCAAACATTTTGCGATGAATTCAAATGCGATGAAGAAATGAAAACACGTTTATTAGGGTTTTTCTCCCGAAGTGTTAAATACACAAAAACTGATAGAAAAAAGTTTAGGAATTTTTTAAGAAATGAAAAGTTTTACCTGAGATTAGGTTATGGTTTGCCTAACCGTACGATCAAACAGATCTGGTATAAGGCGAGGAATGAGTTCAATACATTGAAAGGTTGGAAAGATTTGACCACAAATGACTTGAAGAATATAAAGACATTGCATTCAATGCATGGCAACAAATGGTCTAAAATTTGTGAACCATTTCAGTGCAAACCCCATACAATTCAGTCAGAATATTATTATCATTATAACAGCGATGGACAGCCCTATGAGAGCGGACACTGGACTCCCGATCAAGACTTACGAGTTATTAATGCCATAAAATCGGTGTTAAATACGGATGACTTAACACAACATATATTTGATAAAACAATTAATTCCAAAGAAGTGAAAGAGTTGTCGCAATTGAATAGAAGTCATACCGATATCTGGAACCGATGGAATAAATGTCTTCGGTGGAAAATTGCAAACTTCGATCAGATGGTGGACAAGTGGTCGCTTAAAGACTCATCAAAACTGATTTATTGTTTATTTAAATACAATTTCGACGACGAGTTGTCCATCGATTGGGATCTCATTAAAGAGAAGTTTGAGAAAATCTCTTCATTTAATAATTTGATGAAAAACTGGCGAATAATTAAGACAACTGTTCCCGAGTTTGAGACCAAATCATACAAACAAATCATTGGTTTTCTTTTCGACAACTTTTTGCCGCAATTCTTGAAAACTGATGAAGACTTACGAGAATTGGAGGAATTTTTTCAAAACTAAAACTAAACTATAATTTGTTGTATAAATTACTGTTTGAATCACATTTAATAAACTGATTGTCAAAACATAACTAAACTTAAATTATTAATATAATAAGTGATATAAAATGATATTATTATTAAATTAATGGATTATAAACTGAATATTCAGTTAACTGTAATAAGAAATATATGATAGGCATAAAAGTGTGACAAAAGTTATAATAGGTGTCAGTCTTGTCGTCAGTTTGTGTTTGTGTTTGAAATTCAAACCAAGAATTGAAATGAAATTCAATGATTGAACGAAATTATAACGAAATAAAATAGACATTGAATTCACAACCAATTGATTATTGATTACATTAGAAGTGCTTTTGATTTGTATTGAAATACAATTAAAATACAATTCATTCAAACAATCGCTTCATTTGATCCCAAAAATGCCTAAAAAGCGGAAACTCTTGAAGACATCACTCGAGACCACAGATGACGGCAATGAAGACAACAGACGACACGTATTTCACTAACAATTCACTGTTTATTGATTTTTAATTGTTTTTAATTCATATTTTAGCCAAAGATTTACGCGAAGAACTCAATGGACAGATTCGGCGACGACTTGTGTCAACTATTATTATCCCATCTCTCACTCGAAGACTGTTTTCAATGCGAATGTGTGTCCAAACAGTTCCAGAGGACAGTCTTCGAGAGCGTTGATTGCATTGAAATTTATAGCGATTTAGTGAACAAAATGATAAAAAGACAGACAATTGACATCAAAAAGTTGGTCACAATCGCCAAAAAGTGTCCAAACATTCAGACCATTGACTGTCGAAGAATAGCCAACAGATATGAAGAACATATGGGGAAAGTGTTGAACACATTTCGAGTCAATTGCCGGCATTTAAGAGACATTTGCGTCAATATCAGGAGGAATGGCGCGAAATTGTTGCCATCGTTGCCATCATTGGTGACACAAATCGGCGAATTTGATTGGCTTCAGAACAGTGTACTCATTCATTGCCACCGATTGTCACATCTATTTGTCTACTCGTTGGACGGAGTCTTCGACGACACTTCCAGAAGATTACTGGTGAAGAATTTGCACACATTTTCATTTCATTATCCTTTCAGTTGGGGATTGGATTCTAAGCAAATGTTGACTCAATTCGTGGCACACAATCAGTCCCTCACGAGTGTTGTCGTCGGCATCAGTAGGAGTTATTACGACCCAAATAAAGACATTCCTCCCGAACTGTGCCAACAATTGTCACGATTAACACAATTACGGCGATTGACGCTTAAATTGGAGGAAATGAATGACGAGAACTCGTTGTCTGAGTTTTTGCGTACAATTGGCTTAAACTGCAAACAATTGAAACGATTGTCACTTCAAATGGATTCACCGAAAAGCCGGTGGACAGGAAATACACTCAATTGTTTGCAATATTATCGTCGCTTAAATCGTTTGAATTTAACACTCGTTGAGGACATCGATAATGATTTGTTGGAACCGTTGAGTCTCTGCCACCGATTAACACATCTATCGTTGGATATGAAGCAAATGAGTG